TGCTATTTGGGGGGCCAACAAAATAAAAGGACTTTGAGGACACTAAAAAAGCACTCACCAATACACCTGGACTAGGACTTTCTAACCTCACAAAGCCTTTCTTCCTCTATGTCCATGAATGGTATGGAATAGCTGTAGGGGTCCTGACTCAAATGCTGGGAACATGGCACATCCAGTGGCCTATCTATCTAATCAGCTGGACTCTGTATGTAGCCCAAGGCTGCTTATGGGCCATTTCAGTCATGGCCCTTCTGGTGTTGGAAGCTAATAAACTAGCTATAAAATAAGAATTAGGTGCCCGTGTTCTTCATTAATTTTGACACTATTAGAGTACAAAGGATAATGTTGGCTAAATAATGAAAGAATGGTCAGTTACCATTGGGGCGGGAAAGCAAACCTTTTTCTTAAGATGGCAGCTGATGCTTAAGATGGTCATCCAGGTGCTAAGAAAGGACTTCCACTGGGTAAGAAAGTCTTTATGTAGTAAAGTTGTAATACATCTAAATAAAAAAAGAGAGAGAGAATATAATTAAGTGATAAAAATGTCTATATAAGTGAAGGGTAAATATTAAAAGGTTTATGTACAATTAAGTTGGTTACACATAAGTAGTTAAATCTACTCAAGGTTTTTCCCTAAAGTCAAATATTGATGTAGTGATACAAACCAAAGTTTAATAGATATGTTGAAATGACAAGGATTTCTTCAAATATGAATTTACTCTTAACATTGAGTCTGTTACATTTTACTACCTAGAGCAATAAGTGTTAAAAATCAGAGTTTATATTGTTATTTTAGAGTACTGAACTAAATTACAGAGCCTAGATTTTTCTTTAAAAGCTAAATTTGATTAATATTTAAACATCAATGTAATTATCACACTGTATACTTTTTTGTATACTAAATGTGTTCACATATTTCAGGTATAGAAGTCTTTAAAGTAAAACTTTTATTTTATTTTTATATGTGTATTTATTTATATGTGATACTGAGGATTGAACCCAGGGACTCCCTCACACATGCTAGGCAAGCACTCTACTGCAGAGCCATAACCCCAGCCCTGAAAGTAAAAGTTTTGAAAGAACATTTTATTAAGCTAGTGGTCTCCAAATTAAAGTTGTCTCTAATGGTAATTTTAGACTTATAAAGATAACAAATTTTATTCAGGTTTTATTTATATCATTAAATGTTCTGTAACCGAATCTAAACCTTATGTTACTTGTTACACTGGGATAAAAATGTAAATGTATTTCTAAAAGATAATGAGGGACTGATCTACTTAAAGATTATTCTTGTAAAACATAAAAACGTTTTGCCACTTTTTACACAAAAAGAAAGTTAAACCTCTCTTAGCCTTTCTTTCATTCTTATTTCAGATAATGTCATATTGTGTTAATTAACACAATCAGTTAGGCCATATTCAACTCATTTAAAGGTATATTCAAAAGATTGATATTTTATTTTAAAGATTGCTGTGGTCTCAAACATGGGACATAATGTATAACTCAGCTAAGGTTTAAGATTATGTACAAACTAAATATCTTTTTTTACTCTTGTTAATTTCAAGAGTTTTTACTCTTGTTAATTTCAAATTTTTTGTTTAAACTTTAACTGCTATATGTTAGCACCTTACAAAAGTACAACTTCAAATATAACAACCTAAAAGGCCATCATCTATAGACAGATAGTATATAATGCTAACTTCCAATACTAATAGAGACCCTACTTAAATAAAAGGGACAAAGATGATTGTAAAGTTATAAACATTAAAGTTAAAGCCAGGTATTCTTACTTTAAGACTGGATTGCTGGATATAAAAGATCAAGGCTTAAAGATTAAGGTTAAGGGGGGTGGGGGTGGGCAAGAAAACAAATATTTGGATCTTCTCCTCTGAGTCAGCTTGAACCCAGGGAATAAGAGAACTTCTCTAAGAGCTTTGCAACTCTGGTTCACATGACCTCCCAATCAGGTGAATTACTGGGACCTTAAAAAAAGAAATCCAATCAGTACACATACTCCAAAAGAGGAGAATCACTGGAAAAGACAGATATCCCTGGTGTTTCCGAGGGAAGCCACATGGTCAGTGAGACCTTGACTTATCCTGTTGGATGGCATTAGCAGAGCTAAACAGCTGCTCATTAGTTCCCCAACAGAGACCCCAAGAGAACTCAGCTGACTCTTAATGATAAATAAGAACAAGGTCACTTTGACCAGCTTGATCTTGAATACCTAACAAATACACTTAAAATGAAAACAGAGGTCATTTCAATAAAAAGATATTTTACAAAAATCAGATGGCATTAAGTAACTTAACTAAATGTTGTGTTATATTCTTGATAACTCTGACCAGGTTAAAGATTTACATTCCCAAATTTAGCTTTGTCCTCTCTGGCATTTTAGGCCTTATTATGAGGACAACTTCTCAGCTCTGACACATCCTGGTGAGAGATTATTGATTTCTATCATCTTCAGGATATTCATTGACATGTTCCAGATGATAAAACATTTATCTTGTATTAATCTCATATCAGTACTCATGTCTTTATGCTTCTTTCATAGACACACCCATTCCCTGTTGAGTCTCAGGACTAAACATGCAAGGTCATTCCAGGAGAATTGGGCTGCATGTAATAACCACACAAAGGCAGAGAAACACCTTTTTCTTCAGGTAATGCGATGGCTCCTGCAACCTTGGGGTCTGTGAAAAGAGAGAGAGGAGCACAGGTTGAACCCTTTCTTGGGAAGAAGCCATTCAAATGAGGCAAGGGGTAGGATTACAAGGTAACAGGTGAGTGTAGCTCAACTGCTGCCCACATGGGCAGCTGAACTTAAGGTCGCTCATGTGAATTTCCAACCAAAGAAAACACAGACACACACTTTACCTTTAATCAAGCTTCAGGATGGTTTCTCCACTCTCTGCCTCAGGCTCCCCAAATGGGAAAGCAAGAGAAAGTCATGGGAGGCTGGTGAGAGAGAATGAGCATATTTAGAAGTGGGCTTTTATTGGGGGACCCTCATTCTTAGAAAGTTCCATCCAAAAAAACATCAGAAGTGGCAGGGTTACAAAGGACAGGTGAGTGTAATTTGACCCAAAGGGTCATGGTGTGACAGGCCTACATCTGAAGATACACCCTCAAACTTCTTGGACCAGGACAATGTCCAGATCACTACAATATGTAGTGCCAGTCAAAGTCTCTGCCCCCTAGGATGGAAGGAGCAGATGGTTCAGAGTGGCTCCCCATACTCAACCCTTTGGGTGCCATGCCTTATTATCCAAGCAAGGGAAAAAATGGAGTATGAGTCATGGCACTACTGAACCAAACTACAGTGCTCTTTCAGATCCCCATGGTGCCTCGTGACTAAAGGTGCCTGAATTTGGAGTAGCTACCCACAAATTCCCCCTTGATTAATATTTAAAGGCAATTGGGTACTACATGATTTAATCACCCAGATTCTCGGTCCAAGGTCATCATAATCTACTATTGAAACACAAAAAGAATTAGTAGAAGACATATCATTTCAATAATATAGTCAACTTGCAATATCCAGGTTATTATTATTACTCTGACAAACAATCATCCGAAGATTTTTAATCTTTTCTCAATTTATTGGGAAGCATTGCGTTTGGCCACAGTAACACAAATGAATTTAATTGGCATAGCATTTAAGCCTATCCACAAACCATAGAGCAGAAGGCTCATTTGCATTATTCAGAATATTGTCTTCTAGAGCATTTTAACTTAGTTCAAATTCTTCCATCACAACTTATCTGAGTATGAAAGATCTTGGAAGTAATTTAAGTCAAATCTTAAGAAAATTCACATGTTGTAAGTTTAAACCATCATCATAAAGCCTATAATTATAGAAGCAAGAAACGATATGTAATGTAGTCACTTCAAGGATCATGAGATCAGGAGCTTGCCTAGGTCTAGTTAATTGGCATGCACCTGTTTCAAAGCCTGAATGTTAACTTGAGCATATTATAGGTCTGAAATATTAGCTGGCAATAACTAGTGATACAATAAGATGAGTTGTATTCTTACCAGCTACAGGATATTCATCACCCTTCCTCTTAATTCTCACATTGAAGGAGTTTTTTAGGTCTGTCAGTAATGTAAATATTTTGAAGGTAGAAGTCAAACATCAAAACATCCTTTTGGGTGCCAACTCACTGAGGGTTAGGTTATTATAATAAACGTCCAGGTGTTATGGCATCCTTGCATAATCAGCTTTGTCAATTCTGTGAGACCAGCCTAAAATATATCCATTATTTCTAGATATCTTGTGTTGCACTGGCAAGACACTTGCACAATCTAATCACGTAGGAAAAGTGTCAATTCCTATTGTAGAATGAGTAGGAGAGTAATATGTTGGTGGATATCTTATGTACATATAGAAAAAAATCTATTTTAATAATCTTTCTGACAATTGTCCAGAAAAATAAATATAGTCTTAACTTTTAAGGACCAGCATGATTGGCTGGTTTAGGTTTTTTATATGCTGTCTTTTTCTCAAAAGATACTCCCAGACAGTCTGTTTATCATAAGATCAACATATAGGAATAATTGAACATTACAGTCAGTACAATTAATCTAGTTCATGGGTGGACTTTCCAATCCACACTTCAAGGCACATTAAAGGTGGACCTGAGAATGAGTCCATAGAAATCTCTTCATAATTTTTACTTACCTGAAAAGCTCATGAAGCTGCATGGCTATAAATTCTGCAGTTGGGAGATTTACCTTACTATTTCAGGCTTTTCAGTCATTTCCATGATGAGAGGTTTCAACTCTCCTTTGAAATCTGATTTAATTTACTGAATCATGTTGAATAACAGTAAAACTCTCAATATTACAATTTAAGAAATTTTTTTTTAAATGTTTGTAAGATCTAGTATATGCTTACAAACATTAGATATTTATAAGGGGTCCTCTTTTTCCCCTTTCTTTATTTAAAAGACTGGTATAAATCATAGTATCATTAACTTAAATTATAGGGAGCCCTCTATCTCTTCTTGAGAGAAGTTTCCAAAATATCTCTATATCTCAGAATATTATCCTTTAAATAGGTGTCTCTCAATTGTCTTTGAGAAAATATGGTTAAGCTTACTTTCCAGTGTAGGAAGTAGTATGTAAATCTTACCATTTTTTATGGATAATAGGTCCAATCAAAGAACTTATATAATACCAAAGAATTTTCAACAAATTTTGCAAACTTTATATCTCAAAACCAATGTACCACTTTAATTTGAAGAATGTCAATGTTCTGCCAAATCTCACAACTATCCAGCAAAAAAAAAAAAAAAAAAGTAATTTGTAAATTTCAGCAAGGTCTTTGAAGCCATCAAATTTAGTATCTAAGGAGAATTGTCAAATTTGGGATCTAAGTCAGCAGTTAAATATATTTAGTGTTTAATCAAGGATGTGAATATATTTACTAAAATTAATCCTTGCCTTAAATAATGAGAATCATTAGGCAATAAAGACCACATCACATCAGCACAGTAGAATCAAGAAAATAGCCTGAAATACTCTTGAATTAATCAGTATGAAAGATCTTGGAAGTAATTTATAGTCAGTCCAATACATATAAATCTCTTTTTCAATTGTTTAACTTTCTATATCATCTGTCTACATAATGATATAAATATTTTTCTTTTTGGAAAATACTTTTATCATTAAAATCCAGAATACAAAGACTTGTTTTACCCAAAGATGATTCATTACTTCCTCTTAGGACCTCCAATGTGTGCTTCCTCTCTGTGGAAGTATCTTCTTTTCCTTTTAGTATTCTCCCTGGTTTTCCTTTGAAACAATATTTGAAAACCTTAGAATCTAACAAATTATTTTACCTTGATAAGAAGAAACACCTCAAATGAAAATATAGTTAAAGCCTTTGGATATTTCTGTAGACAGAATTAATTATATTTGTTTATTACCTTATAAAGTTTGTAAAACAATTTGAGACAGATTACTTGATGGTTGTATTATCTCTTGAAAGTAAATTTGTAGTAAAATACATTTATCTCAAATACCTGTAATTAAAAGGCAGAGCATCAGAGAAATGCATGTATAAGTAATATATAAATTATGTGTTTTCTGTTGAAGAAAAACAATTAAATAATATATATTAATTAAACAATTAGACATATATGCTAATTATTTTATGAATTAACAACTACAGGTTGTCCAAATCCCTAGAAAAAATATATATTAAGAATAAGGGCATAAATTATGATTGTATTAACTTTATGCAACCACGTGGTTCTTATGATATTTGGATCCATTTTAATTTTCCTTCAATTAGTAGTGCATTGTTTTATATTTCTGACGTAACATATTAAGATCCTTCTTTATACATTTACTTATGTCTTGTAATTTTATACTCAGGAATGAGAATGAGGTCTTTGATTATCACAGGGACATTGCCGGCTTTTGTCCCTGTGACAAGCAAATGCCTCCTCATAACCTTCAAAATTAAAAGCAAAACATAAAAAAGCATATATATGTCTCATAATTGTTACATTATCTCTGCAATTTTTCTTAATAATACAGAATAAAGAAAAAAAGGTAAGTTACCTTTGAAACTTTGAAAAAGTTAGGCTCAGGGATGCAATGTAGAAACAGGTGGAATTAAATTTTGCCTGAAAAAGACCTTTCATTAGTATTTATAGGTGGATATTGTTGAAAATGCAGTCTCTGTGCAGCTCCTGGTAGCAGGGATGAAACAGGAAGTACAGGTTAGTGGCTGGAAAGCGGGACCAGAAGTCCTGTCTGAGTGACAGTGAAAGGACCAATGGGAAGCCGGGAAAATACAGGAGGCAGGACCAGGAACCCAGCTTGGGCCTTCCAGGCTTCCTGTTGTTACCATGGTGATGGAAACTACAGGGACCAGCTGTTCCTTGTCTGGGGCAAAGGCTCCCTGAGCTTCCCTAGCCACTTGCATTCCATTTGATTTGTTTGTATTTTCTGCAGCTGGGGAGGATCCTAGGGTGGGAGGCAGCTTGCCTTGTCTCTGCTCCCTGTGTTTGCTGCAGCTGGTGTTCTTCTGTCTTTTCTATTTTCCCTTGCAGCACATGGAACTTTAAAATGTGTGTTTTAACAGCAGATGCCAGTGTTACTATTAGATCTTAAGGCAGTCTGCATTTGGCACCTAGGTCGGGTTGTTCAAGGGTTAAAAGCACTGCTGGTGGTGGGTCTAGTTACAGACCCCATTATAGAACAGTGGCTAAAGTCTTTTGATTCTGATGTGGTATGTCAAGAATGTAGCAAAGAGGTTCAGCATAAACTGAGTATTCACAAGAACAATAGAAAAATAAAATTCACTTCTCTACAGGTAAAGAATCCTTGTATCAAGTATTATCACAAAATCTTTCTTTTCTTTTTCTCACTCTCTAAGTGCAGACTTCTAGTGCATAAACCCCCAAAAAATTTACCTAATATTTCAAAATATAAAGATTCATAGAAACAATCCAAAAAAGTCCACAGAAGCGCTTTTCCCATGGAAGAGGATTGAACTTAACAACATATCCCATGTCATCTTAATAATTCTTTACATTTATTTAGAATCTCTAGAATTGTAAAAACTGATTTTTTTCTCTTCCTAAAGACAAAATATTCCAAAATATTAAAAAGTATAATGCCACAGATTTTTCTTCTAATTCACTTACTTTCTACAATTCAGCCCACAATAAGACCCAGTCATGAGCCGTGGTACTACCATGCCAGACTACAGTAATCTTTCAGATCCCTGTGGTGCATCAGGACTTAAAGGTGCATGACTTTGGAGTGGCTTCCCACAATATCCTGTATAGGTGGTGGAGTTTGGGTTTTCTTTGCGTAAAGCAGTCTAGCTGTAAAAAACAGCTAAAAAAAAAAAAAAAAAAAAAAAAAAAAAAAAAAAATCCACACTACACAGAAAGTAATTTTGAAAAGCAGGGTGAGACGGCTCTTTGACCTTACAAATCAAGCTTCCACACTGGGAAGAGTGAGCCCAAATTTGCTTTATTATATATGGAGAAACTTCACAGATTTTCAATACAATATTCTTCTGCCAAATAAGGTAGGAGGTGGGTTGTCCAGGCCCAGTGGGTCATACCTAATTCTGAAGCTACAAGAGCAGCCCCTTCAGCCAAGGTAAGACTGAAATCACTTGCAATGCATAATTCATGAAGTGGGAGAAGCCACAAAATGACTTGCAATGCCAAACCAAAATCTCCGTGGCTCAAGGCCAAGTGAAGACAATAAATAGTTCAGGAGCGGCTTCCCACATAAACCGCAAGTTAACTTTACAACCTGTTCTTCACATGGACCCCTTGACCAAACCTATCTCTAAAAGGGGACTTCAACTGCTTCTCCCACTGCCATGATGCCCCCTATAACCTTTTAGCAGCAAGAGTGATCCTCACCCTTTTTATTATAGCAGCAAGGAGTCCATAGAATTAGATAGGGAAATAAAATAAAAATATCAGTCACTGTAGAGAGGCAATTGGGTCAGATCACAAAAAAAATGGAGACTGGTTTGGTTCCAAAAAGTTAGAGACCACCTCTGGGGGATTAAATGTTAGTACCTTCAGAGCCCTTCCTCCACCCTACCTAAGATAACATACTCCTGTTCCAACCTGTTGTTAAGTCTCTTCAACAGGATCAAACTGAAGCTCATAAATTCCTTAGGGAGAACAAACCCCAAGAGACCACTGATTTCCAACACCCATTCCAGACAGGAGACTATGTAAACAGCACAAAGGTGTCTGCTGAATAAAGAAAGAAAGAAGAAGAAGCAGACAGAAACAAAAGCAAAGAGTAAATAGCCCTCAGAGGCCCCAACCACCCTCTAAATATAAGAATAAAACATGTTGCTCATGTTTGTCTATTACTCAGACTTTTATAAAACCCTAGCTGCTAAAATAACATATTTTGTCAGTCAAATTATCATATGTTTGGCAATTACAACCTCTTCCTGGATTCGGAAGGTAAATCAAGGGTTTGATCATTTCTAGATAAAATTGGAATATTATGGACCAAACTACATGTGCCTTGATCAAACAAACTCCATTTTACCTTTAGACTCCATTTCATAAAAGAAAGATTTGTTCCATGAGAAACCTCTGCCTCTACCACCTCCTGCCAACCACACACTTTTTGGCAAGCCATGGTGGTTGAAAAATGTTTTTCTTATTCTTATACAATGTATTATCAAGAAATACAGTTGTAAGATGCTCTCTTTTAGTTGATATTTCTCATGGGAAGTGTACTGTACCTTGAACTGGGTCATTCTGACCCACCTACTATATAGCTATGGCTTTGAATTACTGGTAGTTTGCAGGTTTGGGCTACAAAAGAGATACCCTACTTTTTGCAAGGGGTTGAGATATGCAGAGGCAATGTGGTCAGTGGCCCTTGACCAAATGTCCATGTCTTCCTTCAAGCCTCATCCAGTGATTTATCTAGAACATACCACAACACCAGACTCCACTCTTCACTAAAATCAGTACCAGAGGCCATGAGCCTCATTGGTGACCTGGGAAAGCCCTGAATTCCAGTGATACACTGGGAAAAGCTTTCAACACCAATTAGACACCAGTGAAGGCCTGAATAAAAACTGAGAGACAATTTTTAAGGCCTTTAAAATTGTACAAAATTATGGAACGCATTTGAGTACCCCTGAAATAATATGGACAACACTGAATCATAGCAAAATTTTGGAGATTGTCCTGAGAACTACTGATACACTGTGGAAAGTATGAATCCTTCTAAGGAATATGGAAAAAAACTTGAGTTTCATTGTTGAGGAGAAAAAAAAAAAACAAGAAAAATCAGGGAAAGGTCCACAAACTCATTTAGAGCTGGTGGAGGTCCAAAACCCCACTGAGAAGCTACTAAAGGCTTTTACTCTCACAGAAGCACTGGGGGAAAATCTGAGACCCAATCATATCTGAAATCTAAAAAAAAAAAAAAAACCTAGACAATACTCTGAGGTCCTTCCGATAAGCCATTGAAGTGAACACTGAGCCAGACTGAGACTCTGGAGAAAGCCCTGAGCTTCCACTAAGAAACATGGAGTAGCCCTGAGTACAACTGACAGAGTGGGTAGGCCCTGAGCCACACTATGACAATGTGAATATCCCTGAGTTTCAATGACACACTAGGCAAGGAACTAATCCCCATTGAGACACAAGTGAAGGCCAATATTTTCCAAGAATACTGGGGGGAAAATCTAAGCATTACTAGATATTGTGAAGCATCCTAAAACCCACTGAAAGATTAGGGCAAGCCCCAGGTTCACTATGATATTGGAAAGGCTCTGACATTCAATTAAATACCAAGAATATCCTGAGCACCACTGTGATACTGGGATTGACACTGAGCTCCACAGAGACACTGGAAAATGTCCCTGGGATTCAGTAAAAAAAAAAAAAAAAAAAAAAAAAAAAAACCTGAAAAGCCTTAAACCCAATGTTTCCTTTGGGAAGATTCAGTGTCACTCTGATGCTGGAGGAAGCTCTGAACATCAACTGAGACTCTGAGAATAGCACTGAGCCTATGGAGAAACTTTATAAATTCAAGGAAAAAAAGGAGACACTGTGGATGGCTCTGAAATCCAGGGAGATTTAGAAAAGGCAATGAAACCTGTTAAGACCTCTGGAAAGAACCTGAGAACAAGGTGATCATGGGAATGGTGCTCATCTGCTCTTACACTCTGTGAAGGTCATGAGACCACAAAGACTCCTAGGAAGGCTGGGAATACATCTGTCAACTTAAGGAAGGCCTTTAGCATTCTTAAGACTCTGATGAAA